TTTATTCAAAAAAAAAAAAACAAAAAAACCGTTGCCACTGGAAATCGGTTTTAGCGGAACGGATAAGTAGACATCACTGATAAAAGGATTGTTGAATTAAATGTTACGGATGATTCACTGCACATATATTAATGTTCGTATTTATCTACGTAGAATATCTGTCTTCAATTCTGCCAAAGTACCAGATGTGTATTGATAATCTGGATATGCCCAATAATTGGTACATTCTTGGGTCAAACTCCATATCACGTCATTTTGCGTACACGCATTATGAAACCTGATATTTCAGACTTATCTCATAACCCTACGAAGTAGGAGAAGAACAATGGTATTGAAAAAATAAATGTTTCACCATCAATTGATATTGTGTTGACATGGAGAAAAAAAAAAAAGACAACCAGGTTCTTTCTTCTTGGCACAATAGGGTCAGCTTTGAAGATTAGTTGTCTTGTCAGTTGCAAATGAAAAATTTCATAAGTTGTTGGAATTTATTTGATTGTAGAATAAATGTGCTCTGGTTTTAGAAACTATGAATCTTTAATCTACAATTTGAGAAGGAAAAAATGTTTCTTTTTCAATAAAAAGAAGAAATCTTTAAGAGGGAAGAAACCTGAAAAAGTATCTGTAAAGAAATGCTGATGAATTTTTTTATTGTTTCAATTTTTATACGCCATTTTTAGTTCATACAACAGTGGAAAAAAAAAAAAAAAAGACAAAAGTTTCTTGATAAGTTGTATTCAAAAGTGACAGTCGTTGTCATCGCTGTAAATAAATCGTGCAAAAGAAGAGCGTTCATAAAAAATATTTTTTCGCCAAGTAATACATTGTTGATTAAATATAGCAGTTTATAAGGTAGTTGAAAAATGTGGAGAACTATATAACTGTACAATACTCTTAACTGTTGCTAGACAAATTTGTAACAAACAGCTTAAAAAATAGCAGGAATAAATTGATATAACAATATTTATTCGAAGTTTTTAAACAGTTTGCATGTAAATGTTTACTTGATAAAGCTAGACAGAAATTCTAGACAGGTGGTTTTTTTTTTTTGAACCACATTGTCTAAAGAATTTTAAAGTGATAATTAGTTAGTCGTTTAGCAGTCTTATTACTAAACAATGTCGGAATTAATCAGGCAGGCCAAAAGATGTTTGAAATTGCAATTTTTAAATAAAAGATTGTAAAAAAAAAAAAAGAATAAAAGAGCACATACATTTGGAAAATAATGTGGAATTTCTGGTGCAAAATATATTGAAGAACAACATATAATAAAATCTATTATAAACATTCTCTTCTTTAAAAATTGATTCAAATTTTTTTATAACAAGTAGAGGATTTTTCAATAAGTAGTCACACAATAAGATTTATCCTTTAATTTTTCAGTAATATCACTGTAAACTATTGTACAGCACTAAACTACAAATCGCATCACATTTCTGAGATCCGTTTACCCTTATAACTCTCAACCTTAAATCTGCCTTCAACATAAAAAGTCTCTTCTTTTGTAGAATAAAAAAAGAAGAATAAGAAAAATAAAGAAATAAAAGCAGAGTTTTTTGTGT